CCAACTACAAGACCAAGATGACTGCCCTCCGACGTCCTGATGGATCCATCACATCCTCCAGAACGGCAATGGAGAAGATTATCCATGACTTCTACTCAAATCTCTTCGATAGCCATGTCCACTTGCCGACATACCAAATTCCACAGGATGGATATGTCGTTCCCAACGTTCTCCCTTCTGAAATCCGACACGCCATTTCGTCGGTAAAGAAACAAACAGCACCCGGCCCAGACAAGGTCAGACCTGAACACCTGAAGAACCTGCCAACCTGCCGTCAGTACTCATCAATACACTGGCTCAGCTCTTCACTCGCTACCTGTCTGAATGCAAGGTTCCGTCCCAATGGAAAACCAGCAGGACCGTACTACTGTTCAAGAAGGGAGACATCCATGACATTGGCAACTATCGCCCGATCTGCCTATTGTCTGTCATCTACAAGTTGTTCACTCGAGTCATCCTAAATAGGATTGGCAGAACACTAGATGAAGGACAACCATGCGAGCAAGCCGGGTTCCGCAAAGGATTCAGCACCATCGACCATATCCACACGATAACCAAGCTCATTGAGGTTTCTCGGGAGTTCAAGATGCCGCTCTGTTTTATGTTCGTTGATTTAAAGAAGGCCTTTGATTCTGTTGAGATGGAAGTGGTCATTGAAGCCCTAGCCAATCAGGGCATTCAAGCCCAATACATCAGGATCCTCTGTGAGCTGTATTGCAGATTCACTACCAGGATCTCACCATTCTACAAAGAAGTGATCGTTGACGTCAAGAGAGGGGTGCGGCAGGGTGATACCATTTCACCGAAACACTTCAGTGCCACCCTCAAGAACATCATGCGACGACTGGAATGGGCACGAATGGGAGTGAAGATAGATGGTCGGCAACTACACCACCTCCGCTTTGCTGATGACATTGTTTTAATAACACCAAACATCAGCCAAGCGGCACAAATGCTGGCCGACTTTGACCGTGAGTGTGGAAAGGTAGGACTACAGCTGAATCTTACGAAGACAATGTTTATGAGAAACAGCCTCGTTCCTGACGCCCCATTCGCTCTCAACGGAACGACCATCTCCAAATGCAACAGCTATGTGTACCTAGGTCGAGAGGTCAACATGACAAATGACCTGGCACCCGAGCTATGCAGGAGGAAGAGAGTGGCTTGGAACGCCTTCAAGAACGTCGAACAAATAGCTAAGAGGACGAAGAACCTCCGGCTCTGGGCACATCTCTTTGATTCCACTGTTCTTCCTGCATTAACATATGCCTCAGAGACTTGGGCCCTACGCAAACAAGATGAGAACGCTATTCAGGTCTCCCAAAGAAGAATAGAAAGAGCTATGCTTGGAATATCACGTTTCACTCAAATGAGAGAAAGAATCCGGAGTTCTGACATCCATCGACGATCAAGAATCAGGGACGCTGTCTCATTTGCCAAGGTGTCAAAAATCAGATGGGCTGGTCACGTAATGAGATTTAAAGATGACCGCTGGACTAGAGCTGTTACCGACTGGATTCCACGGGATGTTAAAAGACCGCGTGGCTGCCCACCTACCAGATGGTCAGACTTCTTCGTCAAGATCATGAACAATCAGTTTGAGACTCTTCATGTTCCCGGAGCGAACAGATGCCATTGGGCTACACTAGCACGCGACAGGGACAAATGGAGATGTTACTGGCGCCCGCTCGAGCAAATCGACGACTAACGGGAAGTTAAGTGATTAAGTGATTATAACGGGAGTGACAAAAATCAATGGAATAACATGCACAAAAGCTTTACTTCCTTCCTCTTCTTCTCCTTCTGGAAAGTCACAGAAAAAGATCTGCAATGCTCCTGACTTGCTTATGGAGCCAATAAAGACACCAGACTCTCAGTCTAGGTTACAGGGTCTCCTGGATGCGTTGGTGAGAATGTACATGGCTCAGAGCTGTGCAATGTTCATCAATGTGCTTGAGAATGTGGTTTTGGCAAACAGTTCTCAAGCATCGACCCCCTTGCCTGACTGGTGGGGCTTGCAGCATGGGTCTATGCAGGGAATACACACAACCACTGTGGTGGGGCTGCACCTCACATTAACTATCCTTCTCAGGCATGTTTTCAAGGTCCCTCTATCGGGGAAGTGAAAACAAAGCCTGTTCGTGTTGTAGAGCACAGGCCTGACAAATGGGGGGCCCCAGGCACACTGTGGGTCCAGAGCACTGTGACACCAGCAATGTTTTCATGCTTTCCTTCAAGGAGAGCATCCCTCCCCATATCCTTTGCACTAACCCTCTAGACGGGACGGCTACACAGACAACAACTCATACAGACGCACTGCTCCCCAAACCATGCAGTCACAGCACCACTTACACTGAAGCCAAGGCCCATTTCCTGTGGCACTTGAAGGCAGGAGGCAGAAGAGAAGTCTAAATTTTAGAGTTACCACCATTCCCCACTCCCCAGTCTCAGAAAGGAGGAGGCAGCACTGTCATAGCACTGGGAAGAGAGCACTGGGAAGAGAGCACTCATCTACAGCTTCTGAGCAACAGCCATCACAGATATGGCCACCAGTTATGGGTCCCCCCACCCCTTAAAAGAAGGCAAAATCAGGTGTATTTCTAGGAAATACACCTTGTAGATTTACAAGGAAAATGAGAATTTCATGGACAATGACATCGAAAATAAAAAACTCAGAAATTAACTTAGGTAGAAGATTTGTACTTGAAAATTAGAAATACCACTAGAGGGAAAAAAAAGATGATCAATGAAAATACAGTTTATGCTCATGGGCTAGGAAACCTAAAAGACCATTAAAATGTCCATGCTACAGAAGCAGTCTAATATAATGTCAATGCAATCCTATAATATCCAGTGATTTAAATATATATGTATATATATCCTAAAATTCCTATGGAATTATAAGGATTCACAGCTAGCGAGGGCACTCCTGAGAAAGAACAAATCTGGAAGTTTCACACCTGCTGATTTCACAACTTATTATAAAACCTGCAGTAATAAAAATAATGTAGGACTGGCACAAAGACTAAATGCAAAAACTAGAGCCCAGAAATGAACCTTTGTACATATATGTATTTATATATACTGCACTGCACTGTAGCACTGTCCTCCTATTGTTCATCAATTTGCTCGAGTAGGCCCAGTTACATCTCCATCGTGAGACTTGTTACTGTGTTTTGGCATATTGAATACGTCACGGGGAGCTTGCCAGGCTTTGCCGTGTGGGCAAGATACTCTCGGTAGCTTGCTGGGCTCTCCAAGAGGGGTGGAGGAATCGAACTCGGGTTGGCCATATGGGCCGCGTGCAAGGCAAATGCCCTACCCGCTGTGCTATCGCTCCAGCCCATTTATATATACATATATTTACTTATATATGTATATAATATATATGTACATATTATATATGGGCTGAAGCGATAGCACAGCGGGTAGGGCGTTTGCCTTGCATGCGGCCAACCAGGGTTCAATTCATCCGTCCCTCTTGGAGAGCCTGGCAAGCTACCAAGAGAATCCCACCCACGGGCAGAGGCTGGCAAGCTCCCCATGGCATATTCGATATGCCAAAAACAGTAACAAGTCTCACAATGGAGATATTACTGGTGCCCGCTTGAACAAATTGATGAAAATGGGAGGACAGTGCTACATGTTATATATAATTTGCATATAACTTTTATTTCTTATTTGTTTTGAGGAGTCACACCTGGAGGTACTAAGCTATTTTGGCTCTTTGCTCAGGGGTTACTCCCTGGCATTGTTGGGGAACCATGTGGTGTTGGAGTCAAATGATTTTTGACAAGGGTACCAACACCCTGTAGGAAAAGAACAGTATTTTCTGCAACCAGTGCTAAGGAAGCTGTTGTTTGCATGCAAAAAAAAAAAAAAAATCAAGCTGCACTCTGAGCTAAGACCACAGACAAGAAGGACTCAAGGAGTTGTGGGTGGAGGTCATAGAGAGCTTGCTTGCATGACAGAGGTGCTGGGTTTGATTTCTAGTACCAAAAACAAAAAACAGCCCTCAAAATGCATCAAGGATCTACATATCAAGACCTAAAACAGGTCTGGAGAGATAGCACAGTGGATAAGAAGCTTGCCTTGCACATGGCTTTCCCAGATTCCATCCCCGACCCTCTACATGGTCATCCAAGGTCCACCAGAAGTGATCCCTCAGAGCAGAGGCAGGAGTCAGTCCTGAGCACTGCTGGGTGTGGCCCCCAAACAAAACAAAAAACAACCAAAAAAAATGAAAGACAGGGATGGACAGTGGTGAAGGCCACAGAGCAGTGTAAATATATTTAATTCTGGGGACAACATACATCAGAATGGCTAAAATGATGTGTCACACTAAGTTTACTTTACCATAAAAAATACATAGATATTTTATGTGCCTATAACTTATGTCTGTAAAAGCTGCAACTGTGCATTTTCATTGTGCATATATTATGAAACAAACATAATAACTGGGAACATTTTTTTAAATAACCAAACTTTTTAATAAGTAAAAGTTTTGGATGGATGTCCTAGTATTTTCTTCTGGATCATCTGGGAAGCCCCTAAGAAGCCCACAGCCTGGCATCTGACATACGCTGAATGGTGGTACCACCACACACAGAGTGAATAGGAAAGAGCCTGCATGGGACACTGAGGTTGATTGTGGATTGCGCTCCTCGCTCCCCTTCCCCTCTCTTACACTGGCAGGAGTCTTCACCCTAAAATAAAATATTCAGCTTAACCCATTCTCAGCACATGGGTTAAAATAGCAAATCCCGGGGAAGTTTGGAGTGACTGACATGGGAATGGTGGGTAAATGCTCCTCTCTAGAACTGTACAGATCCCTGAAAACACTAGTTGTTAAATGAGTGAGGCTTTGACTTTGAATGAGGTGTACCTGTTTAGTCCCTCAAGAGCCTGAAGAATACAGAAATCTCTGGAGTCTTACCAGGAGTGCTCAGGCAGAAACCAGGCAATGGCGTGAACACTTACCGTGAGGCAGGAGTGCTTACCTTTAGCATTTCCGGTTCTTTGATATCCAGAGATCTTGAGTTCCAGTGTTGCTGAGTTTTATGTAATGTGTGAGATTTGTGAGCACTTGGTGGTGTAAAAAACCAAATCAGGCAAACCGCAGTCATGAATCCAAGCCCGATTCCCAGAAAGAGTCCGCTGACATACACAGGGAGGGGGAGGATGAGGTACGCGTAGACACACATTATCAAGAAGCCCAGGGTCTTGACCGGTAGCTCTGGGCGCTGCAGGACCAAGTCCCTCTCCTCGTCGCTGTCGAGGGCCGCCCCGTCATCCGCCAGCACCTCGGGCTTGAGGGGGAGGTCGGGGAGCTTGTCGGCTTTTTTCCCCTCCTCTGCTTCCAAATCAAAGTCCTCGCTGTAGAGCTCGCAAAACTCTTCGTCTTCCTTGCTCACTAAGGCGGACAGAGAGCACTTCTCAAGGACCAGAGACCCGGTTTTCAGGCCCAGGTCCTTCAGGCTGCTCCCCTGGCAGCTCTTCACTTCCGCCTCCCTGGGGGGCTCTTCAGTGCACTTTGGGGGGTCGTTGCGGGGGCTGCTGGGGTCACTCCCAGAGCCGTCCCCCTCCGAGTCACATTCCTCTTCCTTGATGCTGTAGCTGTGATTGCTTTCCAAATGGCCGTTCAGGCCGGACAGGCTGGAGAGCTCGGAAGCACTTGAAGATAAGGCTTTGGGCCTATGGCTGCCGCTTTCCTCCCCGATGATTTTACTCAGGAGCTGGAAAGGCTCATAGATGACCTCGGAGAGCCGGCGCTTCGTGTCTTCAATCTTCGCCTCCATTTCGGGCACTTTGAAAAAGGAGCGCGAGTCGGAGGGGGAAGTCAGCGGGGAGGACGGGGCGGTTTTGGAGTCCCCCCCGGTGCTCCGCGGCTGCGTGAGCTGCTTGAAGAGGTGCAGGTTCAGCTTGGAGTCGGGGGGCTTGTAGGACACGGTGTCCGTCTCCTGCCTGGAGGTGTCGGTGGACAGGGACTTGACGAGTGTCTTCATCAGGTGCCGGTGCCGGGAGGGCTGCGGGGACTCCTTTGGCTCCACCTCGGTCGACAGGGACTTCACAAGGCTCATGAAGGGCTTCGCACTGGACAAGGCGGAGGACGAGGCACTGGACGAGAGCACAGGCGACTTGGATGGGGAGGACAGTGGCGAGGAGGAGCTGGTTTTCTGCTCGGAAAGGGAAGACACACTGGGGGAACTAGCTAAGGGCCCCGATGAAGACGACGCGGGTGACAGACCTGCTGGCACTGGACTTAATACTTGGGCTGCCGGAGCAGGGGTCTCCAGCAGCTTGACAGTGTTCTCGGAGACGGGCAGAGTGGCGGGGGCCGCCCCATCGGCCAGGCGGGGCGGGGCATGGCCACCCTGGGGCTCAAAGTAAAGGTCTTCCTTGGCTTCGAGGCCCGTCACAATGCTTTGGTCATCCAGCCCCTCGCCAAAATGCTCCCTGAACTCCTCCTCCTCTTCCTCCTCCTCCTCGCCGGCCGCCGAGAAGTGGATGGCGATGGTGTCGCGGGACACGGACCTCTGCACGTGCACTCGGGGGGCCGACGGTTTGGGCATGTCACTGGTTTTCTCGGCATGGCGCCCATCCAGACTTGTCATTGCTGGCTTCACGAGGGCTCAGGATCTGAAAGCAGGAGGAGGGCAGAAGAGTCAGCAGGCATTTCACCAGGGGGTTGGAGGGGACAGTGGGTGATGCTCCCCCTTCCCCCTTGGCAGCCGACAGCCGTTTCCCACTCAAGCAGGTTGAGTGATTCCATTTTCACTAGATTAAGTCCCAGCGGGCCCTGCTCTTCTTATGATCAGACTACAGAGGGGTTGGAAATACCACACCCACCAACTCACTTACTTCCCAATCGCTGAGTAATCATTCCCTCCCTCTTGATGGGCTTGTTTCTAGGAGAAAGCCTCAATTTCAAGAGATGGCTGCCCAATAGATGGTTCTGGTCTTCTAAAGTGCAAAGTAAAGGCCCTCCCGTTGATCATCGATTTGCTCGAGCGGGCCCAGTAACGTCTCCATTGGAGACTTTGTTGTTACTGTGTCTGGCATATCGAATACTCTCGGTAGCTTGCTGGGCTCTCCGAGAGGGGCGGAGGAATCGAACTTGGGTTGGCCATGTTGGCTGCGTGCAAGGCAGACGCTCTACCCGCTGTGCTATGGTTCCAGTCCAGCAAGGTCAAAATGCTGCAGTGATCGTAAGGAATGGAGCCCCCAGAGGTCACCGGTTTCCAGCTCAGGAAAGCTCCAGGTGCACCACAGTGGCGGCCCTCCTCACAGGGATGTGATTGGCCTCTCCACAAACACATGACCTCGCCATCATGAAACCAAGAGTGCCGAGGGACATGTGTAAATTCACTGCTGTGACTTGGTGGCTGCTTTCTGCCCCAGTGAGGAGGAACCCTCAGTCCTCCTCAGAGAGGGAGCCCTGAGGGCCTGACCTGGGACTGAAGCCTGAGGGAAGAGCTAACACCCTCACAGGAAAGGGGAACCTCACCGGATGAGAATTCTCCAGAGGTTCTGATGAGAGACACTGCTGTGCCCTCAGCCCTCCCAGAACATAGTATCTCACTGGGAGACAATAGACATCAGAGAAACATCAGCAAGACAAAAGTCCCCAAAGCCCCCAGCCCTGCACCTGGTACCCCACGATTCTTGTGGGCACCAGGCATCTGATAGACCTGAGAGGAGAAAAATGTATCCCATGATCTGGAAAGAGACTGCTCAAGAGGCCTGGAGGCACCCTGCACAAGTGTGAAATCCGGATCACACTGATGGGTGGGAGGGGGACGCCCTGGCCTCTGACCCAGATGGGGAAACTGCAGGAGTGAGGGTGGGGGATGCTTGCCTTGGGGGGTCTGTTCCCTCCCTCCAGGAGAGAGGTGTATGCCGAGAAGCAGGTAAGCAAGGGGGAAAGGAAACAGGTACTTCTTTTCCAGCACACAGGACAGGAACAGCCAAGCCCTGCTGGGTCTCAGAAACCTCATCTTTAAAGGGGGCTCGGACAGGGTCCTCCAGTCTGAAACACTAACACACTGACGTTCATAGGCAACGATACAACAGGACACACCTAGAGAAGACATCTTTCATACACAACCAACACTGCTGCTTGCTTCTTTAGTTTGAAGATTTCCTATCTTAAATCATCTCCAGGGAGTTACACTTAAACTGTCCAACCAATAGCAGGAGCTGTGGGGCTAGGGGGCGGGGGAGTACAAGCCAATGGTTGCTGCTGGCTCACCAGAGACAGGAAACAAGCGAGGGCCCAGCCAACCGCCAGGACACAGCTGTCATCTGTATGTAAGAGAAATTACTTTCATAAAAACTTCCTAAGAGAGGCTTTTGCCGGCACCTTCCTGAGCCTCAGGCTCCCTGACTGTACCAGGATCAGGAAGAGGGAATGATCTCTATCAGTCAGGTGCAGCAATTTAAATTCAGGCCTTGGCAGCAAGCTGAAGAGACCAGCCTTGGTCCATGACAAGCCTTCCCCTGTTACCTGTAAACCTACAGGTCTATGGACTTAGAAGAAAAACAGTGAAACATATGTTTCTCATTTAACTGTCACCTAGTTTATTAAAGGGTAATTTAAGAAGAAAGTTTCATACTTGATAATTTTCAGTAGGCTGAAAAATAAGCTTGATCTAAATTGCTCTGAGAACATCAAGGTTGAGCTGCCAGGCTTTCCTCCTTGCAGCAAAGGCTGCAAGGGGCACAAAGGAAGCATGATCTGGGAGGTGAGCCGCGTGAGCAGAGAGCAAGGCCAGAGAGGCACCCCGAGAGTTGAGCTGCTTGGGAATTTGCAGAGCCAGGCCCAGGTCAGGGCCCGGTAGAACACTGCAGTGTCTTAAAGCCTGAGCTCTGAGTAGCTGGGCGAGGCCCCAGGAAAGTGAGCTGGCCCCTGCCCGGGGTGAGGGGGGGGAGAACCCAGGGGAAGGGCTTTCTTACACGCAGCTGCGCCTCCAGACATGACATGGGGTTAAGGGCTCTGCTGGCTGCGGACCAGATCATCTCAAGTCCTGCAGCCACCAACAGGGTTCCAGCTGGGCCCCACACCAAGCTGGGTGCCAGGCGGGGCCTCACTCCTAATGTTTTTCTCCAGGGCACTGGCAGAGGCTTCAGAGGTTCGGAGTAAACAGCGCCACCCCAGCCCCCCATGTGCCCTCCCATCAGCACCTGTCAGAGCCGACTCTCCTTCACCAGGCGTTCTCCCAAGCTTATAGGAAGTGAGCACAGGCTGCTCCTCTTGAAACAGAACTCAGGGGCTCTGAGCACACCTGCACAAGAGGATCAGACCAAACAAAGGCTGCTCTGCGGCCGGCCGACATGCTGGCTCCCCGAGTGGGCATGAGTGAAGACACCCTCAGCTTGGCTGGTACCCCCCGTCCTCCTCCTGGAGACCACTCCAAGCCACCACTACCCTGCTCCTTCCTGTCACTGGCACCTGAGCCAGGAGTGCCCGAGCCTCAGTTATCAGCCTCCCAGCTCAGCCAAAGGCCGGCTAGAGCACATGACTGCTCCCGGGGAAGGTCACGTGGCCTGTCCGAGGAGGGGTGGGAGGACAGTAAGACATGATCCTCTGGCCCTGGTGTCCTGGTGCCTTTTCCACGGCAGCATGCAGCAGCTCCAGCCTGTGGCAGGCTCTGTATGACTTCCACCCTGCCCTGCCTTAGTGCCTGCCCGCCTGGTTCCCTCCTCCCAGGTGTCAGGAGTGCGGCTGTCAACCATCAGCATTGAGACCAGCTGCTTGGAAGAAAAGCGGCTCATGAAAATCTATTACTATAAACAACAACAACAACAACAAAACTCTGCCTTCTACTATAAACTGGGAAGGAACAAGGAAAGAAAGCAAAAATATTAGAAAGAAGGAAAATAATGAAATTAAGAAAGAAAGGAAAAAATTACAAAAAAAGGAGAAAGAACATTAAATTCTTTCAGAATTTAAAAGGCAGGCAGACAGACAGGCAGAAGGAAGGAGCAAGGGCAGGTGGGAAGGCAGACAAGCTTATCTGATCCTTCAGGAGCTGAGACGCTTCCCCTCAACAGGTCTTCTTCTGAAGTCCAGGCAAAGCACAAACATGGGCTGTTTCTGCTTGCAAGGGCAGAGCCTGCAGCTCACACTGGCACATAGGCTGATTTCCAACATGCAAACCAAAGTTGGACCTACCCGAGTTCTCCAAAGACCAACCTGGGGAGCCACCAAGTGAAGTGGGGGTGGCACCTTGCTCTGGGGTTGGGGGCGGTAGGTGCCTTCTTCTAGAAACAACAGTGAATTCATGTGAATTCATAATCAGATGGGCTGGTCACGTAATGAGATTTAAAGATGACCGTTGGACTAGAGCTGTTACTGATTGGATTCCACGGGATGTCAAGAGACCGCGTGGCCGCCCACCTACCAGATGGTCAGACTTCTTTGTCAAGATCATGAACAATCGGTTTGAGGCCCTCCATGTTCCCGGAGCGAAGAGATGCCATTGGGCTACACTAGCACGCGACAGGGACAAATGGAGACGTTACTGGCGCCCGCTCGAGCAAATCGAAGACTAACGGGAAGTTAAGTGATTTAAGTGAACAGTGAATTCAACACTTTAAGAAGCAATCTTCTGGAAAGCACGTGCTGTGGCCTCAACAACTGCATAAGGAATAAGCAGGCTGGAACTAAGGCAAATGGGAACATGGAGAGAGGAGCTGCAGGGATCTTCTCTTCTCGATATCCTGGCTGAGTCTGGCAAATTGGAACTGCATTAGTGACCTCCTTAGTAAAATCAAAGTCCAGGGCTGGCCAGAGCTGAGCATCAATAATAGGAAACCCAAGACAGAGGCAAGGTAAGTCATGTCCACCTCTGAGAGACAGACCAGTTCCCCCAGGAACCTCCTACAAGTTGGTCTTAGACCAGCAGTGACACATCCACACCCAAGCCAAACCATCTCCCCAGAAAGGCACTTCTGCCCAAGGTGTCACATTAGCCTTGGAGATACTTTTTCAATTCCAAGGAATGGAACATCATCTAAGGGAACCGAGAAGATCAGGAAACAATGAAAGACAGGGTAAATCATTTATTAGAACCATCAGGCACAGATCTACAGAGAGAATTTTCAGCAGGGAGAGAGTTGCACAGAGTTGATCTCTGGTACCACACATCCCTAACTCCTGCACCCTGGACCATTAGGTGTAGCTCCCCATAACAAGAAGGACAACAACAAAACAAATAGAAACATTGAGACTAGAGGGTCAATATGGGGCTGGAAAGAGGGATCAGATGGGAAAGAAATGGAAGAGTGGGACCACAGGAGAGATGGAGGAGTGCTGAGGAGGGCAGAGAAAACCGAGAAGGAAACCCACACTGAAGCCAGAGGTGAGGGGTCTGGCTCCGTGAAGGCAAGTGGGCAACAAAGGCAAGACACGAAGAACATCCCTCTCCCAAAGATGCCTATCCTGATCCCCCAAAATGGTGAATGTTGCCACCCATGGAAACAGCGACTTGGCAGATGTGAATCTGACAGGAGAGGAAGATCCTGGCCTATTTGGTGGGCCGGTGTAAGCCCAGGGTCCCTAAAAGATAGAAGAGGGAGGCAGAAGAGTCTGGGAAGGAAAAACAGTGAGAGTGCAGAGTTGAATGACACAAGGAAGG